CCTGCAGCCGCGCGCGCCGCTCCACGCCCCTCCGCTGCTTTCTCCGCAGACGGGGGCTGACGAGGGTCAGTTCCTGGACGCGGCGCTCTGGGAAGCGGCAGCGGGAGGCCGGCGGAGGCTGTAGTTCTGAAAGGTGTAGTGAGAAGTAGGTGTCTGGGGGCTTCGGGGGGCCTCTGCCGGGCTTCCCAAATGAATCAAATCAGGAGAAGCCCGGGTTCCCGGAGCAGCGTCTCAGCCTGCCTGGGACGAGGCTGCGGGGACGAGAGGCGGCGGAACCGGGGACGCCGGGGTTGGGGTTCGGAAAGTTTGGCACTGCCGGGGCCTTCAGCGCCCCCGCGGTGGCGGGGCCGGGACGGGGAGCCGGTTGTTAAGTACAGAATTGTGAATCAGTGCCTGCGTGCGGCGTCGGACACACCCACGACCCGGGGAAGGCGATCTGTCAGAAGAGATAGGGGGCAGCCAGCCTGTTGCCAAGAGCCTTCAACTTCACATGTATGTGCACGTGTTTAATGCACACCTAAAACTTTGTCTGCTCTGGGCCTTTTATCACATTGTTGCTACAGATTTCGAGGCCAAGGGGCGGATATCCATCTTCAGTCCTTCCTCAGAGACTCAAAACAGCTGTTTCATTTCCCAGAGTGGAGGCACTGTTTTCGTTTTCCATAAACGTACCACAGGCTTGCTATTTACTAGGTAGAAAGTACAGATTCTGTTTAACGTGTGGGCTGGATGGAGAGTGTTGATGGTCTGACAGGCCTGAGTGTAAAGGTGCAGCTCCTCGGTGCGCTGGGCTTCTCGTGGGTACATGTTTGCCGGTTGTGTTAATTACCATGCTTGGGAGAAAGAACTGGAGGTAGAGAAGTCAGTCTCTTCTGACTGTTGACTAAGGCAATGCCTAGAACCTGTAGAAAGATAAACTGTACTGAAATGTAATCATGACTTGTGCAAGAAAATTACTTCCAAGTTTTCATTCAGCTCTAAAATTCTGCGATTCAGTTTTATAAGTGAGGATCTGTAAAGTATGTTGCCTGAAGTTCTTACATCTGGGAACCAGTAAAAAAAAAATAACCTTGATCTGTAACATTTAGAGTATTCGAAATTCAATGTCTCTTGCTTTCTGGAGTAAATAGCTTTTTAGAACAGGAATCACGTATGATTTCGCCATGGCTATATCTTCAGTACCTGCAAAAGTGCTTGCCACAGAGTAGGCAAGCAATAGATATTTGTTATATATCATGCTGTATAAAGTGTGTATAGCAAGCATTTAGTTCAGCCCTTCAAGTAGGTAATACATGTGCCCCTCTGCCCAGTATTATGTGACATGTGGGAGGAGGCTTGTGGGATTTCAAATGACATAGAAGACCTGGAATTTTTTTCCTTTAAGAGCAAACAGTGGCGAGGGAATTAAAGCATATGTATAAAAATAATTATGAAACCAAATGGGGCATGTGAACTGCTATACTTTAAGTGCACTAGAAATTTAGAAAAGATGAGGCTGGTGGGCCGAGTTAGTGAACACTTTGGAAGAGGTAAGATTTGAGCTGGTCTTTGAAAGAAATGTAAAATTTGAATTAGAAAAGAGATGAGAAATCAGATATTGAGAAAGTGTGAATTTGGTTGTTGGGGGATATATTGAGGAGACACTTGTTGGATGAGTGGAGCAGAAGGTGTGTGATAGGGGAATACTAGAGAGAAGGTTTAGCAGGTTGGGAAGGGAAATTGTTAAGGCTCAGGCAGGCTTTATGAGCATCCCACTGATAACAAGGTAGAATCTGCTTGCTGGGTTGGATGGGGGTTGTGCTACTCAAGTAGAGTCTTACACTCTGAAGGGATATTATAATTGACCGCATCAAGTTGTTGTGTACTTCTGATTTCCATTACCTGCTCGAATAAATGCCTCACTAATATACATCTATCTTATGTGTTTAGTCAACAGGGCATGTCCCCATTTCAAAAATCTACCTGATGTGCTTGGCCCATTTCATTGGAAATTTACTGGAATGATGTACCCAAAGCAAATTTCCATCCACTCTCACTCTCAGTGACACAGTTTTGCTTGGGATTATCTCTTATGGTGGCCTGTGAGGTTATCAGGTGATCCTATAAAAAACAACACAATAATGTTAGCTGGGGAATCAACCAATGAATGCATGGATGGGTGAAACAACAAATCGGTGTTTCATCCTTTCTCTCTCTCCCTCTCTCATCAATAAATAAAAATTAAAAAAATATTGACAAAAAGATTTTAGCAAATTAAAGATGCTGCTGCTAAATATTGAATCTTTGGTCTTTATAATATCTTCTGCTGTGGTTATGTGAAAATTCTTTTGAATGGTGTGTAAACCTGAAGTTGAATTGTTAACCTAGATGTATAAAGTTGCAACACTAAATGTTGCATTATTTAACAACTCAGCAAATATTTATTGGGTGCTGGCTGTGGCCAAGCAGTGTGTTGGATGCTGGGAAGACAAAGAATAAGACATAGTATACTCTTGAGATACTAAGCATTTGCCTGAAGAGACAAACCACTAACCGTGTTATGTTATGATATGAGTTAATTACTTTTGGAATGAATAAAATGCTGAGGGAGTAGATCACTTTGGCTGGGGGAAAATTAATAGAGTCAGGGAGTGCTTCGAAGAGAAGAGGAACAAAGTTAGCCCTGAAGGTTGAGTAGAACTGTGCCACATGTAAAAGGGAAAACAAGCATTGGGGGCAGAGGGGAGAGCATATGCCAGTTGCCAAAGATTAAAATTGAATAGGGTTTTTGAAAATCTTGAATTGTTTCTTGTAGGCTCATTGTATAACAGGAGTGATGAGACAGGAAAGGTATGGTTGGAGGCCAAATTATGAGGGGGTCTTCCATTCTTTTTTAAATTGAATGTATTGGGGTAACATTGGTTAATAAAATTGAATAGGTTTCATGTGTACAATTCTATAATACATCATCTGTTTATTGTATTGTGTGTTCACCACCCAAAGTGAAGTATCCTTCTATCACTATTTGTCCCCCCTTTACCCTCTTCTACAGGCCCCCACCTCTCTTCCCCCCTGGTAATCACTGTACTGTTTTCCGTGTATATGAGGTGTTTTCTTTTGCTTAATCCCTTCACCTTTTTCACCCAGTCTCTCAACCTCCTCCCCTCGAACAGCTGTCAGCCTGTTCTCTGTATCTGTGAATCTGTTTTTATTGTGTTTGTTTATTTTGCTTATTAGATTCCACATATAAGTGAAATCATATGGTATTTGTCTTCCTCTGACTGGCTTATTTCACTTAGCATAATGCTCTCCGGGTCCATCCATGCTGTTACAAAAGGTCAGATTTCCTTCTTTTTTAAGGCCGAGTAGTAATCCATTGTGTAAATGTACCACAGCATTTTTATCCACTCGTCTGACTGTTGGACACTTGGGCTTCCAAATCTTGGCTACTGTAAATAATGCTGCAATAAACGTAGGGGTGCACATATTCTTTTACACCAGTGTTTTGGATTTCTTTGAATATATTCCCAGAAGTGGAATTGCTGGGTCATAAGGCAATTCCAGTTTTAATTTTTTGAGAAAACTCCATACTGTTTTCCACAGTGGCTGCACCAACCTGCATTCCCACCAACACTGCATGAGAATTCCCTTTTCTCCACATCCTCGCCAGCACTTGTTTGTTGATTTATTGATGATAGCCATTCTGACAGGTGTGAGGTGGTGTCTCATTGTGGTTTTAATTTTTATTTCTCTGATGATTAGTGACATTAAGTATCTTTTCATATGTTTCTTGGCCATCTATATGTCCTCTTTGGAGCAGTGTCTATTCAGATCTTTTGCCCATTTTTAGATTGGATGTTTGTTTGTTGGTGTTGAGTTTTATAAGTTTTTTATAAATTTTGGATATTTATCCCTTATCAGATATATTATTGGTAAATATGTTGTCCCATTCAGTGGGTTGTCTTTTTATTTTGTTGATAATTTCTTTTGCTAAGCAAAAACTTTTTAGTTTGATACAGCCCCATTTGTTTATTTTTTCTTTTGTTTCCCTTGCCAGAGGAGATATATGAGAAAAAATATTGCTATGAGAAATGTCCACAATTTTACTACCTATATTTTCTTCTAGGAATTTTATGGTTTTGAGTCTAACATTTAAGTCTTTAATCCATTTTGAGTTTATTCTTGTATCTGGTGTAAGAACGTGGTCTAGTTTCATTTTTTTGCATGTGTCTATTTTCCCAGCAGTATTTATTGAATATAAAGACTATCTTTATCCAATTATATGTTCTTGCCTTCTTTGTCAAATATTAATTGACCATAAAGGTGTGAGTTTATTTCTGGACTCTCTTTTCTTTTCAGTTGATCTTTATGTGTGTTTTCTTGCCAGTACCATGCTGTTTTGATTACTAGGGCCTTGTAGTATAGTTTGGTATCTGGTAGAGTGATTCCTTCAACTTTGTTCTTCTTTCTCAAGATTGCTGTGGCTATTTGGGGTCTTTCGTGGTTCCATATACATTTTGGAATATTTGTTCTAATTTGTGAAACATTCCATTGGTATCTTGATAGTAATTGTGTTGAATCTATAGATTGTTTTGGGTAGTATGGGCATGTGAATGACGTTAATTCTTTTTATCCTTGAGCACAGTATATGTGTCCACTTATTTGTATCTTCTTCAGTTTCTTTGTTCAGTGTCTTATAATTTTCTGAGTACAGGTGTTTTACATCCCTGGTTAAATTTATTCCTAGATATTTTCTTTTCTTTTGATTCAATTGTAAATGGGATTGTTTTTTAATTTCCCTTTGTGATAGTTCATTATTGGTGTATAGGGATGCAACTGATTTCTGTGTATTTATTTTGTGTTCTGCTACTTTAGTGAAGTCATGTATCAGCTCTACTAATTTTTTGTGTGGAATCTTTAGGGTTCTGTATATATAGTGTCATGTCTACTGCAAATAGTGACAGTTTTACTTCTTTCCAATTTGGATGCCTTTTATTTCTTCGTCTTGTCTGATTGCTGTGGCTAGGACTTCCAGTACTATGTTGAATAAGAGTGGTGAGAGTGGACATCCCTGTCTTGTTCCTGATCTTAAGGGAAATGCTTGTAGTTTTTGCCCATTGAGTATGATGTTGGGTGTGGGTTTGTCATATATGGCCTTTATTATGT